CAAGGTTGGGCGAATACCTCCCGAACTACGAGGAGACCGTGGGCACCGTTGCAGGGCGGGAGGCGGCTAAGGAGTTGATGAGACTGCTCTCGTGCGATTTCGAGGGTCTGGTCATCAATTCAAAGAGAGTCTCGGAGTTATTCGAGGAACGCGTGCTGAAGGAGACCGGACGTGAGGCTGGAAACTGGGTGAAAAGTGACCAGGCCATCTGGTTCCTGATTGGAAGTTCTTCATTCCGACGCTCAAAGCTTTCCCGGTAGGGCAAGTTGAGGCGATGCTCATGGTCATGTACGACGGGAATGGCGACCTCCTCAAGGAGAGCACTAGGTTAGTGGCTGTTAGGCACACGCGAATCGGACGCGACATGAGTTACAGTGCCGTTAGGCATAGGTACACTCAAGAAGATGCACCTGGCGGGTCTCTGATGTACGAGATGCATTGGAATGAACTCCCCATGGTGGGGTACGTCATCATGAAATTCTCGGACTTCCGGAAGGCGGTTCAGCTCCAAAGGGTGAGGCGAAACGGAAAGGCCATGATCGAGATATTGATCACGAGGCCCGATGTGTACGAGACCATTGGGGATGGTAGGCAGGATGAGGGCCTGATCCCACTTGTGGGAGCCATGGCGCCGGATGCCGAGGTATCGCCTTCGTGGTATGTCAGAGACAGGCTGCGGAACTACTCCGGTAGATACGTGGTGGTAATGGTGGACCTTCGGGTGCACTGGTCCTTGGTTGGGCCCGTGTTTTTGACAAGAAGGAAGACTCTTGCCGTTAGGAACGAGATCCACATGGGAGCTTGGAAGGCGGCCTACATGTACGATGATTACACGATAGTGTACCATCGGGCATGGGACTATGGTGACTTCACCCCCGTTAGGGGAGAGCACAGGCGATCGCGGGAAGAGGTCAGATTGAATGTGACTACCACGTTCTGTTTGAGGTGCGCGGAGATGACGCCAAATGGGATGCATTTGTGTCCTGGATGCGCGCTCCCGGTCTTTTACCCGAACTTTATCCCCAACGCGGAGGAGAAAGACTTCGAGAGGTGCCGCATCGTACCGGAGTGGGTGAGGACCATGGGGCAGTTCAAGCCCAAGAGGATCCCCACCGAAGTGGTCGGAGTCATCAAGAGGAACTTGATTTCCTATTCGATGGCGTCTGATCTGAGGATGACGGTGCAGAGCGGCATCAGACTGCCCCCTTATCTTGGTGAGGACAAGGGAGGAGTCGATGCGGCGTGGGATGAGCTGGCGAAGGTGCTCTTCCAATTCTCCTATGTGTCGGGGATTTCGGCATCGGATGCGTTCGTGGAGAAGTGGGTGGCGAAGCACCTGATTTTGACCAACCAAGTCGATAGATTTGAGTCGGTTACGGAGTACTTCCGGGCTAACCCAAGGCATGCTGCCCAATGGGGTAGGCGTATGACGACTTCCGTTAGGAAGTTCGCTCGCCATGACACGTACTTGTCCTTCTACATCCCGATGGCATACGTGATTGGCTCCGCGGCTGGTCATCTGACCCCGTTGTATCCAACCCATCGAAAGGACGTGGACATCCTGGAAAGTCATGCGTTGATTTCGCAGCTCAGGCAGTACATGGTGTCGGAGACAGGATACGATGAGAAGAAGAGGTTGAAGGAGGCGATAGCCAAGGTGCAGAAGGCGATCAGTGCCGGACAGTCGGAGCCTCCCGCACCCTTTCGTGACCCGTTCGTCTACGTCAGTGACGAGAGGGTGAGGACGGTTCTTGATGGTCGTCAACCCGAACCACTAAACGTGGACATCGAGGGACTTCAATCGGTGCATCATGCTGCGCCAGGTCCTGGTCCCAAGCAGGAGCCGGTCATCAAGGGCGGAAAAGGAAAAGGGAAGAAGGGGGAAAAGGGCGGTAAGGGCGGTAGTCCTTCCGGCCCACCACCGAAGTCAGGTGAAGTGCCAGGTAAAGGATCTGGTAAGGGCGGTAGCCCATCTGCCCCAAAGGCAAAAGCAAAGGATGACACTGGACCAGCTCCGATGGAGGTTGATGCGGCAGCGGCTCAGCCGAAGAAGACTTGGGTCGCGATAGCGGTTGAAGGGGCCAGGCCGAGTGCGAAGGCTAAGATGACCCCGGTTCCAAAGGCCGAGCCAAAAGGGAAGGTCGCTTCTGTGTCTGAGGCGAAGAGTGCTCCGGCTCCGAAGGCTGAGGCCAAGGAGACGAAGCAGGCCGAACCGAGAGTTGAGGTCAAGAAGGAGAAGGTAGGCGGAGACGGTGCTCCTGGCGGTAGTCGGGGGTCGGCTGAAGGGCAGAAGAGAGAAAGGAAGTCCCGTTGGGATCCTGACGAGACTGTGAAGGAGTCAACGAAGCGAGAGGCATCGACGAGGCCTGATGACGTTGACAGCAGACCAGGTGCGGCAGCAAGAGAGGCTAGTGGAGATGACCTTCACTCCGCGCTTGGCAGATCTTCGGCAAAGGATGCGGTAGCACCTTTGACGGCCTCCAAGGCGATGGCAAAGAAGCCTGAAGGCGGGGAGATCCGGTTGCAGTCTGCTGAGCGAGCTGCGGCGAGCCCGGTGGAGGGACACTTCCTGGTGCTACCTGAGGGTTCGGTGGTGGACGCTTTCTTGTCGATCTCCACCAACAGAGTGCTAAACAAGCAGGTCAGGGATTTCATCAGAAATGGTGAGGACGCGTCAGCACTGGAGGCTCTCAACCAGATCGTGACGAACTCTCGCTCTGGAAGGAGGCGTAGGGAATCGGATGTCTCCCGTACTCCTTCTCGGAGGTCCGTTAGGACCGTGGACACCAGGGATTCCAGGGAGTCAAGGAGGCGCAGATACCGTCCACGGCGCGAGGATGATCGAGACCGGAGGAGGGACGATGCTCGTGATCGTCGTGATGATGAATCACTCGATCGGGAGCGAGATCGAAGGCGAGATGATCGCAGGAGATCCGAGAGGGATCGTGATAGGGACCGTGCGCGGGGCGGACGTGACCGGAGGAGACGTGACGATAGCCGGTAGGCTGAGTCACGAGGATTGCGGCCGATAGGCTTGCGTCCATTCTCCAATGGTCGGCGCGGTGCGGAGGTGGTGATGTTCCTCCCGGACCGCTGAGGCGCGGAGGTCATGTCTCTCCCATACCGCTGCTGGGCTGCTGGACGTGTTCATCAGGGAGCAGTGTGAGTGAGAGGGAAAGCAAACTGATGGGGGGTTACTCCCGGGTTTGCAGAATTCAAGCATTTTTATTCAGGTACGCATGGTCAGGAGTACCTCTTGCCGTTAGGCGAGGGTACTAATGGACATACGTTATCTTTTATTTCATGGCTTCTGATAAGAATTAAACTTCTTGCATTGTTGATGCAAACAGTTGTGACCTAGTGTCGTCATGTGGACTTTTCCACAAGGTTTGTTGGACAGCGTTACCCCGATTAATTTGGGGTGGTGGCGGGAATTTAATGCCCGGGATGTCGCGCAACTGCCTTTGTGGGTTTGCTCCACCGCTGACGGCGGTAGTGTCCAGCTGTTTGCGGACGCATGCGAGCAGTTAAATCCTATCAGTAAATGGCACGCTCCACCCGTCATATGACGGGCTCCTCGTGAGGGGGGTGTGATTAGCCATGGTTCATATCATCATCAGGGACGTCGCGTTAGTGACCGACCTGTGGTGTTTTGGCTCAAGTTTTGGGTTCCGTCGCGCCTCGAATGGGCGTCGCCGAACCCCTGCGTCGACCGACGGCATCTCGGGGGAGAAAGAGACCTCGGGCCGCCGCCAGGTTGGTAGGGACCAGTCGTGCGGCCTGTTGTCGACCAAGGTTGCGGGTTAACCCTTTTCTTGTTTGGTTTGTTTTCCTTTGGTTGTTGTTCTCTGGTGTGTGGGAAACCCTGATCTTTGGGACCGGGGATTGGTTTGCTTTTGGGGAACCTTTCTTTTGTGGCTTGTTTACCCCAACTTACCCATTGCCTGGGCACAGGCTCGTGCCCGAATCACAGTTTATATTTGTGTACCAGTCCCCGTTGTTTGGACGTTCAAGGGAAACCAAAAGGCAACACCGTCCTGAAGAGGTGTTGGTTCATTTTCAAGAGGAAGCCATAGGATGGAATCCATAGGGCCAGAATGAATAATACAGAGCCATCTGGCTTTAACTTGGAGCCACCACCTTGGCTGCCAAATTGTTTTCCCCACTCTCCCAAAAGTGTGCGAGTGAGGAAACTCGTTTAAGTCGTTGAGAACCAAATCGAAGCATGGTGGTTCAATTGTTAGTTTCTGGCTGAAAATTCGGTGAGGGCTGGTTTTGAACCAGAGCGTAAGTACCCGCGTCTTTGCTGCACGTGGTTTAGATAATATGGTTTTGCAAACTAGCCGCTGGTGTTTCGAGTAAGTAAGGGACTGACATCATACCCATTAAGCAGTGGTTATCATGTTTGGCAACTTGGTTCAACAATGGGCATCGCCCGGATGTCCGCCATTAAGCAAAGACTACCCCCCCCTTGCAAGACTCTCCTCTTTCTGACTGGCCAAGGGAATCCCTTGTGATAGATTAGCCATGGGGAATGGAATACCGCTTGGATATTGCAGAAAGGGGCAACCATTTTCCAGAACCACGTTACATGTGTTTCAATCCACAATGTTAAATCAAGCCGTCACATTGAATGAGCTACATATGGTTGTTGGCTTCATGGGCTTAATTTCGTAGCCCCTGACATCCCAAAAGGACGGCAAACTTTGAACTCGTTGACTTTTGGGGGTGCCATCATTGTATCTTACCATCAAAAGTGGATTAGTCTGGTCAAGTTCACAATACGCGTGTTGCATGTTGCAACCCCTTACACCAAGGTGAAAGAAAGATGCAACTATGACATTCCCCCAGGGTTGGACGTGTGCCGCCTGGATGTGCCTTTTGTTAGGAATCCCCCCAAACTGGTGGGGTTGCAAACCCCCCCCCCTCGAAAAAAAAGAAGGTTGAGGTCCCATCCATAAAGACGAGGCACCCTATCTACTTTCACCCTCGAAACCTAGGGCCATCCTCGAAGTCTTCGAAGCCCCGGTGCCCCAATCCACGGTGGAGCAGCCCGGCCTGGATCCAGGCGAGCGATCGATTCGGGCTTCGGTTCGGAACGGGATGGATTTCACGGGGTCAGGTTTCGCAGGCCCTTGATTTGGGTGGCTTGTCTTTTTTGAGGGTACCCCTTTTTGGATGGTTTAAGGGGAAACCCAAAGGAGAACCATAATTTGAAGGGTACCCTGAAAAGGAAACACCAAGTGGGAGCGGTGAAGCTTAAAGGTCAAGTGATCGGGGGGTACTCTCTCACCAGACGTTTTCGTGCGCAGACTCCCTTGGAAGACTACTTTCAGGATGACGTATGTCCTTTTACGCTTTAAACTTCACTAAATAGGAACCATTGCCAAAAAGTACTCACTTGCTTCCTCTCTCATAGAGTTCGTTTTGTGGCCTTTTTAGGGAATTCCACCATTTGAGGGCCCTAACAGTCATTGGATTGATGGCAACCCTCCAATTCCCGGCTTGTCAAACTAGGGAAGCAGGGTTTCACCCCCCATTTCAGCCACAATCAAAACCTGGGTAAATCAAGGCTAGTTAGCAGGGGAGCGTCCGAACAGAAATGGGTGCGGCTGCCCTTTTAGTCCTTTCCATGGTTGTGGACAGACCACTTTTAGTATCAGGTGTTTATATTCTGGCTCATAGGTTTGCGAAGAGAGGATCCGCTTGGGAAGCGAGCACAATTTTCGTTAAAGCACCCTCCGCAAAGACAACCCGACATGTTTGCCTGGCTGAACCCCCATCACCATGGAGACTTGAACTCAATACAGGCCAAACGCCCGGTGTAAGACAAAGAGCACAAGAATCCAGCCGAAATTCTTTGGCTGGCTCTACGGGCGGGGGTCCGATTCGCTCAGTTGTTCAGTGGCACCCTTTTTCCCCTCTTTTTTGGTGGCCTCACTAAAAATGGTCTTCAAAAAGGGTTCCCTTTTGTTTCCAGGGTCACTGAACAACTGAGGTCCTGGCTTGTGAATGGCTGGCCCCTCGCTTCGGTTGGCGCAGGGGTGACGGTGGCTATCGTGGCCGGGGTGCTCTTCGGCTTGGCCATGCTGGGCCTTGCGGGCGCCTGTTGGGCCCTTTGGATTGCATGGCGCGCGACTGGAAGTCGGGGAGGGGGGGGGGCTGGTGGTGTTGGGGGGGGGGTCTGGTTCGGGGGAGGGGACAGGGCAGAAAGGGGTAACTTGAAAGGACTGGGCAACGTGATGCTTGAAGCACCTATGAAGCACCCAAAAAGGGAAGACCCCAGTATCTAGAAACCTGTAGAATCAGATTTGAAAGGTTGTGGTGCAGCAGTACGATGCAGGCCTTTGGTGAAACTATCCCTGTTGGAAGGAAGGTTGGCTGAAAAGAGTCAAGACCAAACTATGTGTCAGGTGCTGGCCTATTGAATCAACCATTGGGATGAACACAAACCTGATTGCTACTACAGAAAAGCAAGTGAACCAGCCCCGAAAACGAGTTCTTACCAGGCCTCATTTGTAGATACATAGATAGATAGATAGATAAATAGATAGATAGACAGACAGACAGACAGACAGACAGATAGATAGATAGAGCTACAGCTATAGATATAGATCTAGATGTGCACCTGTACACCTATATCAACATTAGATATGGCTATGTATTTATCGACCTTTTTTAAGGCTTCGAAAGCGGCCAAAAGCCGAGTGTCTCGTCAGCCTTCCCGCCTGTGTCGCGTGCTGAGGCGCGGCAGCGTGCGAAAGCCAAGCACAAGGCCAAGGCGGGCCATCGGAGCTGTGCCCAGCGGCGCCAGGGGGGGGGGAGGGGGAGGGGGGTTTAGGATGGGTGCAGGGTGGGCTTAGGTTGGTGTAGGGGTGGTTTAGTTCAGGGCTTAGGGTGGGGATGGGTGTTGGGTGGGCTTAGGTTTGTTTCGGGTGGGTTGTAGTAGGGGTTTAGATGGGTTTCAGGTTGGTTTAGGGTGGGTTTAGTTTGTGGGGCGGGGGGTTCCGCCCCATCTTTTCCATGACGACTGGGGGTCTGGGTAAAAGAGCCCCTGTGGTTGGACACAAGAGCAAAGTGTAACAAAATCATTCAGAAAATGGAGAGGCACATATCGGTTGACTTCCCCTTTTGTGGTTGAACATAGCTTAGCTTTGCTCTCATTTGGGCTTTTGGGTCAAGACTTTGTCCTACACCACAAAAAGGCAAGCGGCTTACTATTCGGTTGAGAAGCAGGACTCGGTAAGATGATTTCCACTTCTCCCAAAACCAGTATCTTCAGGAGTTTAAGGGGATATACCTATTTTTTCCACCATTTAAAGGGTAGATGCCCGGTTGTCTCCTGGGATTGTGGCGGCCAGAGCAGGGTGCAAGGACTGCCCGTTGACTTTGTTGAACATTAGACAAAACCGCCTAGAAGTGTAAACATGCTCATGGGTGCTTCTTGATGGTCCTTGACATGTGCTTGGGCTGTTTCTACGCTAGATGGCGCGATGGCCCCCGGTCGCTTGGCACATGGATAAACATTTGTATCGAATGCCTTTGGGTCGAGTTTCATCCAAGGCATCCCGCGATGTTGAGCAGATCTAGAGGCGGTGTTTGGCCAAACCATGGGCTCGAGATCGTCTCACACAGGTTGATATATCGGGGTTCCTGCCCCACTCCAAATAAGGCACAAAGGAAAATCAAGAGACGGTAGCACTTGCAACCAAAGTAGTCCTGGTACAGTAAAACTGTGGAAGGGCAGACAGCTGGATTGAGTTGTATCAAGATCATATCTCCATGAACTAGCCAGGGATTTTCATAAATGAAACCGCCAGGTGGCAGATGAGGCGACAAGCAAGGAGGGCAAGGACGGCAGCAAGTACCATTTGGAGCTTCTGGGGATGGCTCTTGTGGCTGAAAATCAGCACTGGTCAAATGACCTGATTCTTGTGCGGTGTCCGCTGGGGAAAATCGACAATCGCGGGTTTCCTGCCAAAATGACCATTGCCCACATCAGGAGCTTTGCCCATGGAGCAAATCAATACCACCTTGGGTTCGGTGGTTTAGGGGGTGGCGATCCTTTTGATATTTGTGTCTGGACTTTGGACATGGCGGAAAATGTGTGCGTTTGTTTTCAAACAATCCAAGCGGACGTTTGCCACCACAAGCCTGCTGTTGCTCAGACCATTGTCTTTTATTTGCTGGCAGCCTATCGGCTATCGCCACCATTTTTGAGGGAAACTCCAAAGTCTCGCAGCGGAGGATCAACAAGGTGACCATTCCTAGCGTCAATCAGACATCTAGAGCAAAACGGGTTATACCATGGTAATATAAACTGGTGCATCAAATTGTGATATTGCTTCTTTTGTGCAAGAATCTATTGAAAGATGGTTCGGGGGTAATTGATATGAATACCATCCAACAGATTCAGCATTCGCATTGCCACATGATACAAGAAAACAGCAGGAACATATGTCTGGTGTAATCAAGAACTGCATTAAATATTGTAGCTTTGAGCCGCAGTCAAGCGTGGGGAAAACTTAAGTGACATGGATTGTTTTGGGTTGGTCTTGGTGAACTCTCATGTTGCCCATATTTGTCAAATCCTATGGAGGACAAAGAAGGCCTTAATTTGAGAAGACTTTGTCTTTAGTGGCTGGGCTGACGTTTAAACTTCATGTCTACGGGCGGTCAAATTGGGTTGCGTCTCAAAAAAAAGACCACTCAAAAGGCCAAAGAGAGTCCTCGCGTGGTGTTTGGGCTCATCTTGCGGTTTTGTTTTGCGCTCGGCTACGAGTCTCCTAACATCGCCCAAATGAAGACCATCCCCTCACTGGAAGGGATACTTTCGCAAGAAAGTGAAGGCTTCCCCATGTTCCTTACGGGGCTATGAGAGGATTCCAAGTGTGCGATCGATTTGCCAGCCTCGACTCGGCTCCAGGAGGGCCTGCAGGCGATTCTGGGAAGTGGGGAGTCGGTTTTGGTACTTGTCCAAAACCAAAACTCGGAGAACAAAAAAGAAGAAACAAATAAAAAACAATCTTTGGAACTTTGTGTCTCCGTTTAATCGCCGGTGGCTGGGAGCGCCAGAGCAAATGTATTGGCTGATATTTTTTGCATTTCCCAGAGAGTCTGAACCTTGGAAGCACTTGGGGCATGTGGGAAATTGCTGCTTTTGGGTGGCCAGTGACATAGGCGGGATGATGGCACATGTTTGACCTACATTTTTCAGGCCCCGAAGACAGGAATCCTGGGTTTGCTCCAACTCCAGTTGGGCGTGACTTGTCAGGCAGCTGCATGGCCTTTGTAGCTTACCTAGTTGGAACAGCATGAATCTAGTCCCTCTTGCGTATGGTCAAGGCCGCAATCCGCATAGGCTATTGCCAAATGGTGCATTCCGCGCCTGTCTTGAGATCGGCCCCGAGCACCCTGAAATCGGCGTTGCCGTTGGTAACAAGGCCCGCAGGCCATGGTTGCTGCAGAGGGGCGGTTTCATCTTTTGTTGTGGTCGAAATAGGGGAGGCCCCTGTTGGTTTCTCGTTAACCACCTCCAAAAGGGTACCAAACAATCATTCACGCCCATATGTTGAAGCAGTCAGGAGAGCGTAGGGTAGGCCTGCCCGGATTACGGCAAGTTCAAGGTTGCTCGCTGCATTCCAGTGACAGAGAGGACAACGATGACACTGGATGGTTAAACAGGTTGTTGAGTGCGGGGGGTGGAAGGGCTGGCCGTGTCACAGATATGGCGAGAACTGGATTCACAATGCTTCAGGGGGCAGTAAGGGGTTGTCATGCACCGCAGGAATAGGCCAACCATGGCCCGGTCAGTGGAGTGAAGAATCGACCAGTGTTTTGGTTTACCCTACAAGCAGGATGGATATTATGTTTTAGAATTAGGAGCTAATGGAAGCCCAAGGCTGGAATCCCCTGCCAAAAAAGTAGCTCCCGGTTGCACAGGTTGCTCACAGCCGGAGAGCCCCATTCGATCCGGGGTAAGTCAATTGGGCTTCCAGAAAACAAGAGGTGCCTCAATCGGGAACTATAGATTTTGGAAATGATGAAAACTCCAAAACCCGATGCTTTCCCTCCAAAGAACAGAGCTAGTTAGTTCAGTGGTTTGCTCCCTACTCCCAAGTCCCCAGTGAAATGACTTATCCCCCAAACAGCTTACGGGGCTTTTGCACCAGTTACTGGGCTTTTGCGGCGCCCAAAAACCTGCCAGGCCGGCGTCGCCGGGGCCTTAGAAAATCACAGCCTTGGGCGAGTTCTGAAGCTTTTCTTGGGCTTGGCCATGACTCATGGCTCTAGGCTTGCGTCCCTGCATGGCGCTTGTGGCAGATGGGTGTCCTTTTTAGGTTAGCAGGATGGAGGCAATTGGAATGAATGATGAGTCAAATTCCAGGGTCAACGGTTTAAGTTTGGAGGCATTTTGCATCTCCTGCTAAAGTGATTATGTTGGCCAAGGTTCAATTGCTAGGTTCAGGGTGGAGCATTGACCAAGAAAAGTAGCAACTCCGTTTCCTGGCGCCTTCGGTAGACATCAGGATCCGGCAGTGCTTCAGTTCTACGAGTCCTACTACCAGCCGCACACCCAGATGCGTCTCCGCCTTTGTACACAACCAGAGGCTAGGGGACAAACCGTGCCTTGCCACGGTATCCCTGGGCTTCTCCTGGCAAATTGTGATTTGTGACTTTGTTGCAGGCAGCCATGATTTTCTCAGGGGTCCGTGCATCTCCAGGTAGGCGATTTCAACATCACCCCATTTAGCCATTTGAAGATACGCCTTCTGTATTTTCAAAGTGGGCGTGCAAGCATCCCTGTCTGGGCCTTGTTTGCAGGGGGCTCCTGGGCATAGTCAGTGAGATGTGGTTGGGTGATGTCGGCTTGTTTCAAGGCAATCAGAATCAAACACCCTCTTGTTACCTCGTTCCAGGGCGAATCGGCCTCTTTTCAGGGAAGAAAATGAAAACCCTGCTACTGGAACACGCTGCACCTTGCCCGATTCCGCAGAGGCCCGACACCCTTTCGCCGCATCAGCAAGTCATGTCTGAATTCAGTCAAAAAATCAGTAGGTTTCTCTTTCGTGGCACGTCTATTTTTTGCGGATCGGTTATTATCGGTTCCTGAAAACAATTCCCACCAGGGAATGTAAAGAGGGAGGGAAACATGAGAGGCATGCTTCTTTCAACACGACACGCGTAATAGGGTGTTTTTTTTTGACAGGGGGAACGGATTATTCGCGTGTGTGCGTGTGTGTGCATGTGTGTGTGTGTGTCTAGTGTGTTTGCGTGTGACTTTTTCACGCTCCGTGAATCCCGTTTTGCTTTCACCAATCTGGGAATCATAAGTTCAAAACCACTACGAAACTGTCCGATGTCTCCGCCCAGGGTCAAAGGTCCCGGGCCAACAACAAGCTGAGCAAGCAGGAGTCAAACCATATTTATTAATTGGGGCAACAGGTAGGACAAGAACGGCTTAAGAAGATCGGCGAAAAACACACTGTCCTGACTGTGTGTCTTTCTTACCCTGGATGCAGCCTGAGGGGATTGCAGACGATTGCAGATCGCCCAGGTCGATGGGCTACCCACCTGGCACCGCTGCACAGGTGCTTGGGGGGGGCTTTTCCAAGGCGACATGTGGAACTCCAAATGGCGGACTTGGCGCTTTTCAACGGTTTGTGCCTTTGCAGTTCGGGTGCGTCGCTTGGACACATGCCGTCCGAAACATGGAAACATGGTTTGTCCCTTTGGCTGACCCCAATGTCCAGCTTGTTTATTTCTTTTTGACGAAAACAAGTCAACGTTTAGCAGACTGCTTTGGATTCCGTGCCCCAAGTTACTTGCAACACCCCCAAGTGTAGGCGGCAAGGGGATGGAGACGTGTCAACTTTGTGCGGGCTCAGTATCGAACACTAAACACTTAGACGGCTCGGAGCACGCGTATTTTGTCTACAGCACTCTTGGATGTCTTATACAGGATAGTCTTATATAGAATAGCTGACCTTCAACGCAGGGATTCCCGGGACCCTCAATAATAACACGACCCATACTCATACCAGAGAAAAAAAACACCCTGAAGCCAGGGGCACCATGGGGTCTAATCTTCGTCTTTGGGCTTTTTCGATGGCTCTGTCACCAGAAGGAGGATGAGTGAGCCCCTTGCTTGACAAACTCTTACCCAGTTGGTCAACCTGGCCGAGTTTTCGGAGCCTTTGGTCCAGCGATATAGGCGGGTGTTCAGACCATGGAGCCTTGCCTGACTTTTGTCCGAAGGCGGCATGAACGTACACTCCTACTAACACAGCACCTCTAGGGTACCTGAAAGATCAACTCCCTCTAAAAAGGGCCCCCTGTCAGCTGCTATGTTGGCGGGTGAAAGGGTACTGTGTGATTATGCTTAGTGTCACAAAAAGGCGTGTGTCAAAAAAGATGATGCATGCTTACTCTAAGGATACCCTCCTCTTGACCCTTTAAACAACACCCTCGTGGACCCCCAAAAAAGTTTGGTGCATTTTGCTTGGATGTTAGGACTTTAACTTTTTGCCAGCCAATGGGTTTTCCCCATTAAACCACTAAAAGTTAAAAACTTTTCGCCGGGGAGCAGAAAGCAACCGAGAAAAGTAAAACACAAAGAACATCTTTCAGCAGACCTTCCCATGGTTTCACGGGTGACTCTTTTTTTCTGCCAGGTGCTGGGCCAGCAGAGCGCACAGCTGTCCTTGCCGGCGCCCATGATGGCAGGCACTTGCGAACTCGGGTTTTTATCGGACTCGGTCGGGTTGTGTTTACCCAAGCCCACGTCCGGAGTTCCTGAACTTGAGTCACTTTTTGGGATTTGGATTTGGCAAAAGAAAAGTTTAGACATTGCTTTGGCCAATCCACTGAAAAAGTGAGCAAGGGTTCCTCCACATTGGTGGTCGAAACGAAGAAACTGGAGTCACTTTAGTTTTAAGGCCAAACGAAAAGAAGTTTGGACTGTGTGGTACACCAAGTGAGACAGCGATGTTGCCCTTGTTCCACATGGCGTTCGACAGAAGAGTTTCAGTCTGCCTCCATTGGGAAATATAAGGGTTGTCCCAGGCAAATCGAGTTTTTTTACTTTGTGTCCTTGCAACGGAGTCATTTGGTGCTGTTGAGTTAAGTGAGTAAACTCTACGCAAACATGCCCAGAAACAAAGCAAGTGGCCGCTGTGGCATCCCCTTGGTCTCGGCCACAAGGGGCCCACTTGTTTTTTCACCGAGCATGGCTTCACCCCAAAGGGCGCCAGGCTTCCTGTAGGCATTTTCCATCGGGTTAGGGACATGCTGGTTAAATAATATGTTGTGGTCGTTGTTTTGTTCTAGTAATTTATTATTATTATTATTATCATTATTATTATTATTATTATTATTATTATTATTATTATTATTATTATTATTATTATTATTATTATTATTATTATTTATTATTATTATTATTATTATTATTATTATTATTATTATTATTATTATTATTATTATTATTATTATGACCCCTCTTGCAAACTAAGATGGACGCCAATAAACGTGCGATTGTTTGTGCGGATTGGTGTTCATTTGCAGGAATGTACCTTGTTGGAAAGACACTTCCTGACAGCGATTCAGAATTGTCCTCTCAGTTGCACGTGCCAGCCTAGTATGGGGTGGGCCACAAGGGTGAAGTAACCCGTCTGCATCACAGAGGGGTCACCATTCCTTGGCACGAAATGTTTCAGTCTCCAGCCTTCAACCCTTGGGCCACCCCTCAAGCACCGCGCCTTTGTTCAGTTAGTATGGAGGCGTAATGCGTGGGGGAGGTCATTAGAGGGACTGGACATGATAGGACATGCTCTTGGCAAGTGAGCAAGAGGAGGTTCTAGCTCTGGAAAGCATGAAGGAAGGCGCTTTGACCCGTATCAAGGGTTGCGTGGCTGATTTCCCTGGCTGATTTGAATTGGGTGAAATATCCGTGGTGAATAAGCCAAGCCCCCCCTCGTTAGGATTTCTACGCATAACTCCCAAAGGGCAGTGGTTAATCAGCCACTAAGTGGAGCAAGGAAACCTCCCTGGTTTGGAGAGTTATCTTAACAGAAAGCCCCATTTAGGCGAATCAATGCCTCCCTGATTTTCCCAAACGAGGTTGTGACGTGCCAGGCCTGGCGAGCCTAGAGCTGGCTTTGAACACCCCCTTTCCAGGGAACCTCGAGAACAGTTCTTGGACCAACGAGTCCTTTTGTGACCTGTTCGGCAGCATCAAACATGCAGCGTCACAGTCGTTTAGAATGGAGTTCACTGAAATGGTGCAATTGGGTGGGACGGCTCATGACCCAAAGACATCTATTTTCCGGGATTGCGTTGGCCGGTTTTTATCCGACACTCGGTGCAGATGTGCCCCTGTGTTCAACCATAGCCGCTTAGCCCCTTAGAGAATTTCGGCACAATTCACTGCAAAAGGCTGATTTCAATCTACCTGAAAATGCCCACCTTTTTGTTGCCTTGACATCCCCTCTTTGCCCTTGGTAGGGGTGTTTTTATTATTTTAAGGGGAGATATGGGGAACCCTCTATAAGACTGGTTTCGAAGACCTTTTAAGAAGGCCATAGTCAAAAGGAGTCTCTGGTGATACTCAAATTCCGGGAACTCATTTGGAAGATATCTCATAGGCTACACTTTTCGGCTTTGGTGAGCCCAAATCCATCCACTTGTCTGGAAATGTCTAAGAGAAAACTTAAATGTGCGACAACGAATATTCTGAGGGCCCTCCATGACTAAATCCGATACCAAGCGCACTTTCGAGGCAGTCAGGGGCAAAATAAGTCATTCTAGCGGTTGATTCCCCATTCTTTTCAGCCATCGTTCTTTTCAAGAATCAGCCATTTCCCCCAGGGATTTTTGGTGGTTTTCCAGAAAGAAGGATGCCTGGAAAGAATGGGGAAGCTACTCCTAGAGTCATAGCTCAAGTTGGACAAAATCGTGCAGTCGGGATGGAGTTCCAATGAAGTCTCTCCAGGCGGCTTCTCCGGCATGGTCGGGAACTCGGTAGACTTTTTGGGTAGAGGGGAATACGGGTGCGTGTAACATGTGCAACGCGGCGGCTCTCAAATGTCTTGAATGTCATGTTGGCTTCCCTCTAAAAGCAAGGTAACGCGGGTACCCTCAAAACACATAAATATGTACTTTGTTGCATTTTGCTTGGATGTTGGGACTTTTAACTTTTTGCCAACTAATGGGTTTTCCATTAAACCACTAAAAGGTAAACTTTTAGAAGGGGAGCAGAAAGCAACCGAGTTTATACAGAAATATATACAAACATACAGTCCCCCGGCCCGCCTGAGCTTTTTTCGCTCATTCTCGCCAAGCAGATGCTGTAGAGATGTGGCAGGTTCGGACCTTCAGTTTTGTAACCGGTGTTTTGTGGCGATTGGAATCTCAATGGCTCAGGGCTCGGTGGGCTTGACACGGATTCCGTGGCGCCATTTGTAGGACGAAGGTGTACCCTTTGCAAGTCGAAGCTAGGCAGATGCATAGTGAGAAGTTGTATGACCTTCCTTGGCGGGCGGTTTGTTTTGGAAAGCAGATGAACAGATGGCTTAAGCACATGTTCGTCCTTGTTAGTTTTACATGCTCAAAGCTCAGGATGCTCAAAAGGATTGCTTGGTGTTCAGGAAGCAAGGGAATAGGAACAGTTCCACATGTTTGGAGGCCCAGAAAGCAAAATGCGTGGTTACCGTGTCTATGCCTCGGCTGTGCAGGCAACAGGTTCAGAGCCTGCCAGGGCGTACCTCAAAAGCTAGATTGTTCTCACACACACACACACACAACCGCACACTTTGAGTGTGCGTTTGTGTGTTTGTGTCGTGTGTTTGTTTGTTTAGGTTGATTGGGATTGGGTTGGTTCATTGTTTCGTTGTTTGTTTGATTGCTTCTTTGGTTGTTTCTCGCGACACGTTGAGAAGCGCCTCTTCAATTCGCAAGGCCTGTTGGCCCTCTCTCAACCCGCAGGGCAGTATCCTTTTGGGGGATCCCGTTCCCTTTCACCGTTTCTTTTTGGGGGAGGGTTGCCCTACCAAAATAGACCACAGAAAAAACAGGTACCCTTATTCTAACCTCTCTATTGGAGGACCTAGGAGGAGTATCCTTTTTGGGGGATCCCTTTTTTGGGGAGGCCCCGCGTGTTTTCTTCTTTCTTCCGTGGCACCCCTAGCATGCGGTGTTTTGGCTCAGGCCCCAGCTGGTACACCGGCTTTGCAGGCAGTGCTCGGTTCGTGCATCGGAAAGCGACTCCCGAAAGCGGGCAGAGGGGTAGGATACATGCGCACAGGTGTCCTTCTTAGCTGTTTTGGTAGAAAAATAGATGGGCCTGGTTTACCTGGTGGTTTAATCATCCTCCAGGGCCATCTATTTCCCCCTAAAAGGACACCTATGTACTTGCGGTGCATTCGGCACACCACCTTGATTTGGGGTTCACTTTGGCCTCGGGGTCGTCTTGCGTTTACCGTCGAAAGAAAGCGGAAGAGGAGTAGCGTTTAGTGTTTCAGACCAGTCAGCCAATGCTAGCCGGACGGCTATGACCATTTGGCTTTCCACTTTTGATCCAACTTAGCTCAATCCGGTTGTTCGGTGGCACCTGTGTTTTCCCTTTTCGTCAGGTGGCTTCCCCACGAAAGATGATAAACCCAGGAAGACGGATTCCCTGGGTCACTCAACTAGGTCAAGGTCTATGCTTGATCTCAGTCGTTGAATCACTACAACATGGTTGCTGTTGGGAAACATTTTACATTTTTGCTTATTGCGGTTTAGTGGGAAATCTCCACTTAACTGCTAAAACATGTCCTTTTGTTTTGCTCCCCTTCCAACGTCAAATCACTATAAGAAGCCGCCGAAAGACCAGGGCACTGGCAGGGATCCCTGACCTCGAGCTCCCCTGGCTGGAGCGAGTGAAAGACCAAGGCCACTGGCAGAAAAGATCGCAAATAAGCACCAAGCAAATAAGCCGAAGCCAGTACCCGGCCTGAGCTGGAGTTCATTTTAGTAAGACCAAGTTTCTGGCAAACAAACAGGTTAGACCTTCTTGGCCAACCACTCAGGAAGTGAGAGACTGAGAGACTTAGAGGATCGCAAAAATAGGCCTATTCAGAAAATGGACATTCATTTGGCGCGTCTCGCTAGGCTAGGCAGCGTGTGTCCTTCAGAGTCCCGAGAAAGCCCTGGGAAGCTACGTTGCGTTCTCTTGAATGTGGATGTTCAAAAGGCGTGTGGCTAAACTCAAGATGAGTTTATGTCTTTTGACCCTGATGAATATCAGGCCAGCAGAGCGCAGTGTTCCAACTGCTTGATTCCATTTGGCAGGGTTCCGCTGGTACATACCTAGGTCCCCCGGTAGTGCCCTTGTACCCTTTTTTAGGCAGGCTTCCATGGGTGCATAGCTTTGACCCACGGCCGTATAGCAGACATGCAGCCACCCGAACGAAAGAGACGGCTGAGCCCTACAGGACGCCTCCGCCTGGATGGCCCCCAGACCAATGTCGGCGCCTGGCGCTCAGACAGCAGATCGCCATGGCCTTTACAGAGCTAAGCTCAGCTCAGTAAGCCCACATGGTTCTTCTTGTGTGGTTTGTTCTGTTGTTGTTTTTTTTCTTTGGGGGCCGGGGGGGGGGGTGTTGGGGCGGGGGGGGCTGCTGTTGACAAGATGGGTGTATGATTCCGGGGTTCTGCTAAGTAGCTGCTAAGTAGCTGGTTTGTTCTGTTTGTTTTGTGTTGTTTTGTGTTTTCTTTGGGGGGCGGCCGCTTTTGACAAGATGGATGTTTGGATCCAGTCAGGAAGTGAGGTAGGATCTTTGGAATTGCAAATTGTTGAAGACAAGGAGGTGAATATGTCAAAGCTGGAGTTCCGTGTTTTGAAGACCACAAAAGCTCGGGACGGAATTCGGAAGCCAGATGGTTGTGGCGCTTTAAAGGGGAACCACATTTATCGACTGTCGTTGTTTGTTTTTGCATTCTTTGCTGTGTTGCGGTTAGATGTTTCTTCACAAGTTCCAGTTTCGTCCCCAACCCCACTAGGAATTCTACCAAGTTTCTGGCTGAATGCAAGGGGACACTCATTTGTGTGTCGGCCTCGCACCACATTTCAGTTTTTGTGTTTTTTGAGCGATTTGTGGTGGTTTCTGAATTCCCAAGAGGGTAAATGTTGCCTTTCAATGCAATGACTTTCACAATTGAACATTTCAATTTGTTGCCTCGTTGGGAGGACCTTAGCGGTTTCAATGTTCATCTCCAGTCTCAACCACTGTGCTGCCTGGCATGCTTAAATTCAATTTGTACCTCAACATGTCCAGTTCAATGCAAAAGGAACACTCACGATTTGTTGCTTCTGGCTTTCGCGCCACATCTAAGTGTTGGGGTCTCGTAAGCGATGGTAGCTCTTCGCTTGAATTTTTATGACTTTCAACATTTTGAGCAAGTATACTTGCTTGCAAGCTGTGTTCTCGGTGGATGAACCTTGAAGTGTCCTCCCCAATCCCACCCTGCTTCGATGTACCTTTCATACTTGTCCGTGCCGCAAAAAACAAAAGACACCTTGCCGCATTCCACCCTGGCTCCTTTCTGGAGCTTTCCACACAAGATACCCCACAGTTCGTGAGTTACTTTGCTCTCCTTCTGAGCTGCGAAGACTCTGGCATCCCGTGGCTCGAGGCCTCTACAGCTGGCGCTGCCGCCTTCCCGGCACCCCGGGGTGATGGCGTCACCTCCCACACCAACTCGCGCGGGAGCCTACCCCGACCGACTCACCGTGGACTTGCGAATGATTTGAGGCCTTCCGACCAGAATGAGCTCTCAGAATTCTAAGAAAGATATCTAAGAACCCTTCTTGCGAGGCAGGAGGGCCCCAGGTTCGACATTGCCTCGCACACCCCGCTGCAACCCGTCGCTCGCGAGGCTTCAGCAAAGATGAGGGAAACTTTGCCTTCTGCGGATCCAGCTTTACGTCAGGGCAGGCCTTCCAAGGTGTGCATGAGGCGAACATTGAGGAGGATGAGGAAGGGGGAGCCTCCCCCCCCTTTTGGCCGACCTGAGGAACGATCGCAGGGCCAAACGAAGACGCTGGTTGAAGGTCTCACAGTTGGGATGCTCAGCAGGCCCCATATTTTAACGTGGCAACCCGACAATCATCATAGAGGGGTCTTCTTTTGAGGTTTCCTTTGGGGGTTCCATGTAAATGTGCAGGGAGGCAAAGGGAAATCTAGGGAGACCAATTCCTTGAGCAGAACTCTTGGTGTTTCCGGAGCATCTGCTCCCCTGTTTTCCAGCAGCTGGATTTGTTTGGGGCCAACATTGGCTGGCTGTTTCTCAAAATCGGGACCGGTGTGCTTTTTAGTTTCCCCTTAGAAGCCATCCGAAAAGACGACCCCTATTTTGAGAAGCACCCAGTACACCCGAATGTTTCTAGGTTTTCCCTTCCCGCCCCCCAACTCAAAAGAAAAGAAAGTCCCCAAAAAGGGTTCGCGACCCTCGGGTTCATCCAGAGATCTATAGGGAAGACCACCTGCCACCAAATCTGGAAGCTCGCAACACCGCGTTGACAGAGCAAGGTATTCAATCTTGGCACGAGGAATCGACGCATGCCACGTTTCGCCAACGCCCAAATGGTCGGCCTTACTGGATTTATGATATTATATATAAAGCTTCCATATTTAAAACAACGGTCTTATTGGGAGCCTGTAGGCGAAATTGTTGGCTGCAGGACGAGCTGAGACGACCAGACGACCCAATCGCCCAATCCGTTTCCCCATGGGGTTTTGCCAGTTGTCTCCGCGCAATGCCTCCGTTCCTCCAGAATGCATACTCAAAATGCTCAATTGGCTTCTCCAAAAGTCCCAACTCGGATTTGAAGCACCTGTTTCGGTCATAGTTGAATTTCTCTTGAACCCCCTTCCCCCTCGCTGACGCGAGCTTTCGCGCCCTAAGCTGAGGTGGGCGATCACCCAGGGGAGTTGGAGATGGCGCGCAGCCCAGATCTGATTTTCTTCGGCTGGTTGCGACCACTTTGGGTTACCACAAATGTATCCTCTGGGTTGTGTTGGGTTCCATGGACTGTAGAAAGGCAGAAATCCTTCACCAACCACACCAACCAACCAGTCCAGTGACAAGTTTAGCCCAAAGCCGCCTTCCAGGCTCTCAGTGGCACCCAGTTTTTCCTTTTTGAGGTTGGTCCAGGATTGGGTTTAGGTTGGGTAGAATTAGGGGTGACTTAGATTGGTGTAAGCTTGGATTAGGGTTGATGTTGGTTGGTTTTCTCTTGGTTAGGCTTAAACCTCATCTACCGCTGCCCCCCTTCCCACTACAAGAAGGATCCCTTTCTAGGCTGGGTCCTTTGAAGACATGGCCATATTCGGAGGCATTCCCCTTTTAAATTGACATCCCATCAAACGGTATGGCAGACGGCCAGTTTTCCCAGCTCCATGCTTGTCAATCTATGTGTGCCGCCCAGCTTTGGTTTGAACAAAGCTTCCAAACGAGAATCCAAAAGCAACGTGTTGCTCCAAATCTATGCTTTGAGCTTTGGAACAGCTACTTCAAAGCGGGTCCAACACTTTGAACTTTGATTTTCCAGGTGTACCGTGTTGGCTCTTTGTTCGGCAAGGTTGCGGGAATCAAGGGATGGTTCCCACTTCTGTGCCTCTATGGAATGTCTCTGTGTGAAGAGTTAGTCTTTGGTGTCAGCCCTTCCCAGCTACTTCGCAGTGAACGATTCCCACACCCAAGTCGTGGAGGCTACTAGGCTGGCCTTCGGCCATCTTTCGACCTGCCCTCGTATCGATACGACCTGGGGCCCTCAAGCCTTTCTTCAGAAAGCTGAGAACTAAAATCAGAGGCCCTGAACCGGGGATCAAGCGCTAAATCCAAGTTCCCTTGGATTTCATCAGATGTGCGCGCTGCTTTCAGCAGTTCAGGGGCGCCGTGGATTGGGCCAAGGGCTTTAAGTGTTTCCAGACAAATAAGAGGCAACATGGTTGGTTCATGCCCATGTCTTCATGCCCATGTGTTTATGCCCATGTGTTTATGCCCATGTGTTTATGCCCATGTGTTTTGGATGATGCAAAGTGTTCCCCCAGCAGCCGAACTTGAGGAATCCTGGGTCTTCTGCAGAGACATCAAACCAACAGACAAGTGAAGGTTTGCTGAAATTAACTTGACGCACGTTTGCTCCTTTTGCCCTCTCTCCCTTTATGTACATACATATATGTATATTTGTCTGATGGTGTAAAACAAGTATCATTCTAGGGGTGTACGCGTATTGGGCATTTCAACCAGACATAGGAGGCCCTCCAGGACAGCGAAACCGAACTTTGGCTGGAGGAAAGAGCTTCGGGGACCTCGTCTCCGAATCCAATAGGCGCGTTGGATGCGTTTGGCTTCGCTTCATGACCCAGTGGCTCAGTTGCACCCTTCCCTTCTGGCTTGGTGAACCCCCCAACCCCCCCCCCCCCAAAAAAAAAAGGATCCCTGGTTGAAAAATCACCTCTAGGCGCGCCGTTGATCCGTTTTGACTGGCGCCAGAAGGTGATCACTTAGTTCCAAGTCTTGCAAGTCAGCTGCCCAGCACTCATTGGTGGTATTGGTGTGTTTGTGTGTGTGTGTGTGTGGTGTTAGGAAAGTTCCCCGGTTGCTTCAAGAGGAACGGGCACAAACCGCAAATTCAAGCATCAACCAATTGGGGGCAAGATGGGCAACAAACAGGAACTGAACGGCAAGACCCTTTTCCTGGACACTGGTTGCAAGTATTTTGACGCTTGACGCTGTGGTGTTCCTTTCTTCTGGATGCCTCCTGCAGATCAACATGAAGCCTAACACAAATCCATCCATGTTTGGAACTGAAGTTCCTTTCGGGATCGACTCCTTTCTGTTCGAACGGGGATGGGTTTTCCACAAAAGGGAGCTTCAGGAAGCCACACATTCGTCACTTGCAGGCGATTCGACCTGATTTGACCTGTTGGTTTCCATGAGGCAAGGCCTCAAAATGTTAACCTTGTATTTCCAGATCTTCTAGGAGTACCTTTTCCATTCTTTCCAGAGATCCTTTTTTCCAGAATACCTCCGGAAACCCAGGGAAAACGGCAGGTTTTTGAAAAGAACGATGATTGAAAAGAATGGGGAATCAACCCCTGGAGATCTTTTAGGCAACTGACCAAACTGCAAACAGACAAAACGCCTCCGACACTGTTGCCAAGACAATTTCGTCGTGCCCCGGCGCATTTTTGTCCGGCAAACAACACATACAAGTAAGGTAGCTACGGGGTTTGGGCCCTCCCAGGTGAACTCTGGCCGCTTTGTGAGTCAAAGTAATTTGCCTTTGTGTCACACAATCCTTCATCCACATCCTCTTCCCATGGTTCTTTTATTGTGAGGGCAACGCGCAGGGCTTGGCCGGCTGCAGGCGTCCGTCTCGCCAGCTTCCACTCTTCACCGCCACTCCGATCAGACTCAGCGAGGGATGTCGCTTTTGTAGGAGTTCTGTCCTGCGCGGAGGGCTGTGCTGATGACATGTTTTAGATCCTGAGTTGATCCGCGCAGTTGATGGAAGCCCAAAACGCCCCACGTTTCTGACGTGGATCTAAAGTGACGAATTGCGACCATGGCACGGATCAGCTTACCTAAGGACCCTTGGGTAGCTTTTTTGGACCTCGACAGCCCAACCTTTACGTTTGGCCAAACCTTGGGGCCAAGATGTCTCCCTTTCAAAGCTCAACCCCAGGGCAGAACGTGGCAAGCCACAAAGAAAAAAAACCGACGGGCCTTTTTTGAGAAGAAGCAAGGCGGAAAAAAATCATGGGGATGAAACCCTGGGACTTGTGAGGAAGGTGAGGTAGTTCTGGGAACCTCCCCAGATTGGCTTTTGTTTAGCTCTTGCTTTGAAGGCGGTGTTTTTCCTCATAAGGGGCACCTGAGAGGATTGCTTAAAGTTGCACATCCCCAGTCGACTTGCAGGATCCTTGTGGTGATGTTTGGAATTGTCTTTTGGGGGACCCTGCTGTCGAGTGCACAAAGGGCTCTCATTGCACCTCCTTTTAGCGTTTGTTGAGCTGTGTCCCTCTCAGCCAGAGATGTTATGAGTGGCCTCGAAAGACACAAATCATGTTAGAGGTAGAGGTCTAGGTCCCCCAGTAGTGCCCTTTCCCCCTTTTTTTTGGGGAGGGTTCCCCTGTTAAAATAGACTACAGGAAACAAAAAAACAAACTTATTCTATCCTCTCTCCTGGAGGACCTAGAGGTGCCAGAGATGGCATTTGTGTAAGCAGGCAGGTTCCTAGGATATGTTGGTGAACCCATAGTCCATAGGTTGGCTGCTCCATACTCTGAGGACACCTCCTTGCCCAAGATGCCCACGCCCACAGCGACGCCACGGGGCGTGGCGACGCCCCGGGCGGAGGGTGAGCACACCTTGGCCCGGCTCTGAGAAAGAAACACCTTTGTGGGGGATGCAGAGACGGACAGAGGGTCTCCCCCCACAGGTATACCACAGGTGCTTTTAGGGGATAGAACTTAAGCAAAACAGGGTGAAGACTATCCTTTCACAATTTGCATTTGCAATATCCCTTTCCAAGCATGGGTATGTGTCAAAATAGGGATGTGGAATTCAAGCGCAGGCGGTTTCCCTTTGTCCCTTGAAGCAAAGTACAAAGAATGGGTAGCCTCAAAAGCATACACCAATGTGCGTTTGGATCTGCCTTGCTGATGAAACCCTTTCTGGGGTCGTGTTAAAAGAAAGCCCAAAAGGAAACAACTTGTCTTGTGAGGTCAGGTATTTATTTTGGTCCTCAAGAAAATCAGGGCCTCATGAAGGCAACCGGGTGTTGGGCGTAGCTTTCTGGATCGGGTTGCCACTTTTTGGCCAGGGGAATGCCTGGGAAAGTGATAGAGCGGCCACGGAGGTGGAATTCGCCATTTTGACATCACACAACTGAGGGCGGCTCCATACTCGGTGGGCTTCGAGAGCAACAAAGACTGAATTGGGCGTACAACTCCCATGGTTGCCGAGACCTCCCCTGAAAAGAATAACGAGGCGGGTGAATTGGAGCAAGTACGCCGAACTCAGTTTGTTGCGCTTCATGGTTGATTTGCTCGAGGGGATGCAACCAGCTGCCTGACACTGCGAAACCATTGGTGGTTTGCCGCCGCAAACAAGCCTCAGCCATCCCAAAAGCCAAGAGAAACTGCCCTACCCAAAAGGCTCAAGGCCTTTCAGGGGGTTCTGGAGGCCTACCAGAGAAACCCTAGAGGTACAGTCAGGCAATCCTTGCAACCAACACTGTTCGGCTGCTGACGCCTGGGGGATTGCACCTCAGCCCCACGGTTTCGCCTGTCCAAGGCCTTAGAAGACGGCCAGCAGGACGCAGGCGACGCATTCGCTGCATGCGTTGGTCGCCAAGTCTTCGCTAGAACCATTGAGTTGGGTAATGTATGTTTCGTCCTTCTGTAGGGGGGTTCTCAAGACATGGTTGGTGCCTTTGCACAGAATCCTGCTCCAATAATTCATATGTGTGGGGTTCCAGCATGTATCGCATGTTACCTTTGAGAGGAAACGTTTTGGCTGGACATGCAGCGGTCAAACCAATGGCAGCAGCCCCAACGAATCCCTCAAAAGAATCTCTGTTGACTCAATCCAGGTGTCCAGTGTCCCCGCACCACCAAATCTGATGGAATGAGAGAGCGAGGGAGAGACAGAGAGAGAGAGAGAGAGGGACAGAGAGAGAGAGAGAGAGTGCAATCGTTGAGTTCCCCAAAAGCAATTTCCCTTTCATTAGGCGGGCGTGGTGGGTTCCACGTTAGTGTGGTGCTTAGTTGTATGCTTCGTTGGGGTTCGCCCTTTCAACTTCTGATCCCTCGGCTGTGCAAGGTTGCTTCGGTCCTACAGATGAAAAGGAAAGTCAACAAACGTCTCATCACCAGCTCATTTAGAAGATCTCCTGATAAAGCGGGTGGTTTTGGGATGTCTCCTGGAAGGAAGCCTTGTGTTGTCTATTTTAACTACGTAGCCCGCAGATAACCTTAACACAAGGCCTCTTGGATTTTCCAAGCTGTCACTACCTGTGTTGGGGTTCCCTTCAACTTGGAGGCGGCACTGAACGAAGCGTTCTCAACATGGACCCCCTGTGCTTGGTAAAGGGAAACCAAAAGGAACCCAACTGCTTTAGAGGACCCATTCCGATTTGGAGATATCCCCACATGACTACTGCCAGCGTAGGGAACACATAGATAGCTAGATGGATAGAAAGCTAGCTGGATAGATAGATATATAGATAGATAGACTTGGTTGATTACTTGTTCATCCGTTGATTCATTTGCGCACAACATATTCTTCCAGCTTTGCCAACCCTCAGAGAGATAAGGCCCCACCCACCAGAATGGTTCTCAGAACTGAGAACCTCTCCTGTGGAGTGGGGGTCTTTGATTTTCACGCCCAAATCAGTCTTGGCAACGCTTTGCGTCCCAAACGGTGACGACATCTTATTTGTCTTATTTCCCTCTAAACGGAGAATATTTTTTGGGAACCCGCTGTTCGGCGCACGAATTCCGGAGCCTGAGGCCTCGGCCTTTCACTTGCGAGTTGCCGAGCTCGGCTTGCAAAGTCCAGTTGTGGACACTCCTTAAAGTACCTAGCTATTTCACGGGCCGAGTTTCAAGTAAGGAACAAAGAGGTGATCAGTGTTAAGCTACTTGAGGGCTACCATGTTTCCCCTCAGTTTCAGTTTCCCAGGGTTTCAGGTTTGAAGTGTCTTTGAGCTTAGCTGGGTTCATTGGTCTTTTCCCATTGCATTTTCCTCTTCTTCTTTCTTTTTTCCCGTAGGTGAGGTGGGGGTGACCATCTCCAAGAGCCTGGAGGATGTGAAAGACAAAGACCACCGGCCCTCCACGTCCGAATCCGCCGGGCGCCAACAAAAATCGAGGGGTCGAATCGGCAATCGGTTTTTTTCACTCAGGTAACAGGTTACAGGGAGAATTGCCCATCAGTTTGGAGTCTTTAACCCTGCAAATCGTCAGAATGTTATAAACCCCATTGAACCAGAGAGAGAGAGAGAGAGAAAAAAAAAGAGAGAGAGAAAGAGAGAGCGAGAGAGAGAGAGAGAGTTCCGCTTGCTTTTTGTTGGAAGACCTGTGGAGAACCCTTGCAAAAGGTTCAAAGGTTTCTCCGCCAGACAACGCAAGACTCCTTAGGTAAACCCAATTGCGGTGTACTGAGAAGAAGTTCATGAGGGGTTTATGACGGCAGAAACGTACGTGTAATCTTTAATTCAAGGCGCAGAACAATGTGCCGTTGCTCCGAGCGACGTGAGTGCACACCCCAACTGTCGAAAGTGTGGTTTGGTGTGTTCTTGGAGTTCCATCTGAATCTTCT